AACTGATTATAAGGATCTACATATAACCTCCTCCCTGGGGGGGATGGACAACAGAAAAGTGGGTGAAGGGAGTAGGTAAGATATGACAACATAATAATAATTTATAAATTATCAAGGGTTCATTGGGGGGGAGAGGGGAAAATGATGAGCTGATACCAAGGGCTCAAGCAGGAAGCAAACGTTTTGAGAATGATGATGGCAACAAATGTACAAATGTGCTTAACACAATGGATGGCTGGATGGATTGTGATAAGAGTTGTATGAGCCCCCAATAAAATGATTAAAAAATATATATTTTTTAATTACTTCAGAGTCTGATATAAAATAACTACCCAGTATAGTAGTCCTATCAGGTAAATGTTAGACTGCTAACTGCAAGGTCCCAAGGTTCAAACCCATCAGCCCCTCTCAGGGAGACCGGTGAGGCTCTTTGCTCCTTTACAGATTTGCAAATCCTTGGAAACCCTGTAGGTTGGGATGACTCTTTGACAATATAATGTGTGACCTTTTGTGACTGACTTGTTTTACTTGGTGTAAGTAAGCATTTGTTGAATTGACTCATTTATCTGCTGTTTGCAAGAGTTCTTTTAGACTACCTACTATTTCCTCAGATACCCTGCTATTGTAGGTATCGTTTTAATCTACTTCATTGCTTCTCACTGGAAACATGAGAACACATGCCTTTTGAACCTGACCTGCAGAAGGTGCTCCTAAGCATCTTTAGCTCAGGAAATTTCTCCCTCTTCTTGGCAGATTTGGTGACCTCAGGTTTGTTCGAACAGCAGAATTACTAGAAGGAAAATTGCCTTTACAGCCTCACCAATATAAAACTCTGATCCAGCAGCACTGCATAGAGGCCCATCAGATTCTTCTCAATAGGTCAGTATTTGGCCTCAGAATGGGGCTGCACCATGCCACCATAAAGACTGAAAACTAAAGGCAGGACAACTGGTCCTCCTCCGCCTGGCAAAGAGGCTGCTTCTTACTACTTTGACTTTCTGCCTCTGTCCTGCCTGCTCCCTTTCTGGGGACGTCCGTGTCAAATGATAGCCTTCACATCTCTTCTCTTCCAACTGCTCTTCACCTCTCAGTCCTGGTCTTCCTCTGCCTTTTGAAACGACTTCTCTTCTCTGACCCTGATTCGCTTTAGACTTTTCTGGGTGATCGGGTGCTACATTTGAGTGATTGTATTCTGATGGCCCACATAAACAGGCTGGGCGTTCCAAGGTTGGGGTTTTCACTCCATTGGTGTTTTTACTTTACTTTGTAAACTCATGCAGAATTATATCTAGAGCCAAGGAACTTCGATTTTTATAAATGGTGATAATAATGCCTTCTGAATAAGTTTTTTAATGGGTTAGAGAAAATAGATATGCAATATTTGGCATACAGTAATGATGACAAAAACATATTAATCATTACCTCTGACCATGACAAGGAGCCCTGTCATGGCTCCTTGTGTAGTGGTTACATGTTGGGCTGCGATCCACATGGTCGGCAGTTCGAAACCACCACAGCTCCTTGGGAGAAAGACTGGACTTTCTACTCCTGTCAACAGTTATAGTCTCTGAAACCCACAGGGGGTGCCGCTGTGAGTCAGCATGGACTCAATGGCAGTGAGCTTGGTCTTTGGATGACCATGACAAAAGCAGTGGTGCTCTTGTGTGGTAACTGTTGGACTGCAGTTCAAACCCATGAGCTACTCTGCAACAGAATGTGAGGCCATCTGTGCTCATAAAGAGTTATCCTCTTGGAAACCCCATATAGGGTCTCTGTGAGTCTGAGTTGATTCAGTGGTACTGGGCTTATGATCATGACTGTTCCTAGTACATCGACTGCTAGAATATACTTTTATAGCAATTATAGAAGAGATATGGTGGGAGGAAAAGACAATTGGCTGTAGTTCCCACCAACGCTGTGAAATTGGAATAAGTGGGAAGAAGAGAAAATGAGGTGTCTCTTTCTTCTTCTGGTTAATTCCTACTCTCAACTTCTCAACTTGTTTAAGTCGTGTTCTCAACGCTGTCACCACCCTGGAGTTCTCCTCTTGTGCTTTCTTTCTTTTTACCTTGAAAGTCCAAATCAGAGATCTGGCACCTGCCAGATAGAGATGTTGGAATCATTCAAGTTCCTTGTGCCCTTTCACCTCACTCTCTGATTATAATGAAAAATGTAGATTCAGCTGGAAGTGCCACCAATATCCCCTGTCAATTTGGTGGTGGTTAATGGGAGAATGATTTCTCAGTGAAAATCTCATTACTTTTTGCTCAGGAAAAGGGGATGGCTAGGGATAGGAAAGTAACAATTTGCAAAACTAGTTCAGGGTAGATGAGGCCATCTGTCCTGTCAGACAAGGTGGGCGTGACTGACACAGATTCTCAGCTCTGACGAGCTTCTCATTTGGTGTTCTCTTATCTTGACAGGTGGATCCCAACCTGTGCCAACCTTTTTATCTCACAGAAGGACCAGTGGGTCCACTTGGCTCCCAAGAGTGACCATGAGTCCTCCCGTATCATTGAAGAATATTTTGCCTCTGTTGCCTCCTTCATGTCCCTCCAGCTCAGAGATTTGGTCATCAAGTCTCTCGAGGACCTGGTTTCCTTTTTCATGTTACACAAGGTAAGTCGGGACTGGTGCCAGGCCCATATGGGAGGAAACAGTGACTCAGGTATTCCATCACATTGGTCATAGTTAGCTAGTACTTGTTACACTTAGTGTTTGGCAAAACAAAAGATTGGACTTCTCCCAGTTTAGGAGGCTAGAAGTCCAAATTCAGGGTGCTGGCTCTAGGGAAAGGTACTTGTCTTGGCCATCTCTATATGTCCTGGCATCTTCTTACCCCTTCTCTCTTCAATTACTTGCTTGTTAAATTTCTTTTATATCTTAAAAGACATTGACTCAAGACATGTCAGGCACTAATCCTACCTATAACAACAAAGGCAACCAATTCTGAAATGGTATTTTAACCACGCCAGAGAGGCTGGGGTTTGCAACATATATTATGGGGACATAATTCAACAGAACAACATCTGTCCTTATCTGTGAACCAAGCCAAAAAGTAAATTCTTGATTTGCTCACACATCTAGTGATCATTAGTTTATAAAAATGGTTTCTTTTAACATAAAGCAAGCTTTCCTGAGATAATGATATCAAACCAAAACCTATTTGATTCTGACTCCTGGCAACCTACTGATAAAAAGCTAAGAGTTCCTAGGTAGTGAAAACGGTTAACATGTGTGGCTGCTAACCTAAAGGTTGGCCATTCAAATCCACCTAGGAAAAACTGCTTAGCGATACAGCTCCCCCCAAAATCCTAGGGAACATACAAGATTCTATGGAACACAGTTCTGCTCTGACACTAAGGGTGTCACCATAAGTTGGATGGACTAGATGGCAATTGATTGCTGATTATTAAATTGGTAGAAATCTACAGAACTAGAAACATTGTTAAGAAAATTTAAAGGAAATTGCATTACATGAAATGCACAGCTCTTTCAATATGAGGCTCATGTTTTCATCAAGGAAGATCCTGAAACACCTTCATTAGAAAGCATTGACTTGATTTAAGGGAATGTTGCATGTTTTCTTTGCAGATATGGACTCTAGATCATTGGCAGGGCTGGGTCTTTTATAGGGCTTTTAAAGTTCTAAAAACTAATGGTTATGGAGACCAAATGAAAAACTCCCTCCATCAAACTGCCTCAGTGAAGTTGATACATAAGCAGAAAACATTAAGTCCTCTTTTTCAAAGCATCATTTCATACCCTAAATTTACATAATATGAAATATGTTGGATGGATCCTGATTTTTTGTATACTTTTAAAAAAATCATTTTATTGGGGGTTTGTACAACTCTTATCACAATCCATACATACATCCATTGTGTCAAGCACAAGTACATTTGTTGCCATCAACATTCTCAAAACATTTGCTTTCTACTTGAGCCCTTGGTATCAGCTCCTCATTTTTTCCCTCCCTCCCCACTTCCCACACTCTCATGAACCCTTGATAATTTATAAATTATTATTTTGTCATATCTTACAATGTCCGATGTCTCTCTTCACCCCCTTTTCTGTTGTCCGTCCCTCAGGGAGGAGGTTATGTGTAGATCCCTATAATCGGTTCCCCCTTGCCACCCCACCCTCCCTCCACCCTCTCGGTATCACCACTCATACCACTGATCCTGAAGGGATCATCTGCCCTGGATTCCCCGTTTCCAGTTCCTATCTGTACCAGTGTAAATCCTCTGGTCTACCCAGATTTGTAAGGTAGAATTGGGATCATGATAGTGGGGGAATCCTGATTTTTAAGGGACAAAAATATGAACCATAACTTCAAATTCTGAAAGAACCCAAATGTACAAGGCCTGGTACAGCTGGCATAATCCTCAAGTTTATAATCCCAAGGTGTTCTTCAAACTTTGCCATGAAACTATGCCCTGAAGTCAGCTTTAAACGGATTAGAAGTTGTTTTTGTTTTTGTTTTCTCTAAGAGATTTTTATTTGTAATTTTTAAATTCATAATCCACATAGCATATTATCTGAGAAATGAGATCATATCAGAGCAAAAAGAAAATGAAGTTCATAAGAAATTAAGTTTATAAGCCACTAATAGCAATGTTTTAGGTGTACAGGTTTTTTTTCTTCATTAGAAACAAGAAACTCTTCTGAGCAGCAAGTAGCTGGTCAAGTGAGCAAAAAAATTATTCCAATGAGAGCGATATAATTCAAATTAATATTTTTTTAAAGTGATTTCCCTTAGATGTAAGGAAAACGTAGGCGCTTCTTTGAATATATTTAATTCCGTTTGGAATTTAGACAATATGACCTACTATTCAACCCAGTCGATAGCTGTTGGACTGGATTAAGTATCACTACCAGGTGCAAGCTGTGATGGAGCTAAAACCAATCCCCCTGGTGTTGAGTCGATGCCAACTCATAGCAACGCTATGGGGCAGACTAGAACTGCTCTAAAGGGTTTCCAAGTGGGTACATCTTTATGAAAGCACACTGCCACACCTTTCTGGCAGGTGGGCTTAAATCTGTGACTTTTGGTTAGCAGCAGGATGTTTCAGCTACTGTGCTACCAGGGCTCACTGGGAAAAAAACAAGGCAATCTATTTTCAGAAGATAAATGCCTATTGCCTCACTAGGTCCTTAAGTGCATTTTATTAAAATTCAGTCACCTTTAATGATGAACAATTCTTATAAAAGTCTATAGACTGCACAAATATTTTGAAAGTTTCTCACCATCCATAACTCACTAAATAAGCCCCATGGAGTAGGTTAGCACTATCCAAATGACTAATGAGGAAGCAGATAAACCACTGACCTATCCCATCAGGCTGAGCACCGGACAGTACTCTCTCAGAGCCAGCAGTCGCTAGTCCACTGGGTGAAAACCATATCAGAAAGTCAGGGTTCAGTGGGGATGGTAGAACAAAAAGAATCAATTCTGCCCAACACACCAACTACTCGAATTTAAGTGCTCTTTTATTAAAAAGTATCACTAATGAGAAATGCAAGCAAGAGAAAAGAAGAACATATACAATTCTAGTAAAGCAAGAACTATCAGGCTAATCTTGCTCAAGGCAAGAGTCTTAATCCATTTTTCACAGTTACAACATCCCCTTGATTTCTGGGCCTATAGTAACTGTTGATAGAAGTATTCTGAAAACAATTTTTTTTCCTTTTTAAAGTCTTAATTAATGGCAGAAGCATTAACTAATGATTGCAGGAACAAACTCTGAAGTTTAACCTTTGGCACACAGAACAAAAAAGTTGCTTTATCCAATGCATACTGAGGTATCCTTGAGAAGTGGTGATGTTAAGCTGCAAGAACACTGGCAATGATAGAATGAAATAGTGGTTATGAATCACTAGGAAAACAACGTGGCATTCAGCAGAGAAGAAGAGAGAAGTTGCCACACCTTTGGGAAAGGTAGAAATGCATTTTGCCTGTTGTGGGATAAATTGGAGGCTCAGGAAAACTTGGCCGAGGGGCTTCCCCCACCAGCATTTGTGTCAGGCTGTGTTTGAGAACCAACCAAAGGCTGAATGGTTTTTATCCAATATCCCCATCCAAGAATTTCTCTTCTAATTATTAGAATTAGAAGACCCTTACATACACAAACTTTCAAGAAAGAGGAACACTCTTTAGAAAACAGATCGTAAGCTCTCATTCCAAATAAGCATTTCAGAGTTACAGTTACCTCAAAATAGAAGTAGGAAGAGTGAATAAAAAACTGGTTTTAAAGTTACACTAGCTGTCTCCCTATCACAACTTTGCATTGACTAATGGTCCCGAGAAAGGTTTTAGTGATAAGGTATTTCAATCCCAGGATACAGTTAATTATCTGGACAATGTTGGCAAATGAAGTTGGCAGAGAATAAAGGGAGATTACTCAGGATGGACTGAGCCTGGACGAAACTTGTTTCTAACGGCCCATGGTAGGCATGACTACTGCGGGTGAGGAAAGAGTGGCATCTTCTTCTTTCCACTGGGAAGTGATGGTCTTCAGCTGAGTGTAGAATTGGATGCCATGTTTGCCATAGAAATTGGTGTCTCCTCTGAAGGACGATCGAGAGCCGGTGAATGAGAACATTGGCAAAGGCACTGGAATGGGGACGTTCACACCCACCTGTCCAACATCCACCAAATGGAATATTTCCGAGCAGTGGCTCCATTGGTGGTGAAGATGGCAGTTCCATTTCCGTAAGGGTTGTCATAGACAATCTTGGTGGCTTCATCCAATGTGTCTGTCTCCAGCACCACAAGAACTGGACCAAAAAGTTCCACTTTGTAACAGGTCATGTTTGACTTGACATTTGAGATGATAGTTGGTCCAACAAAGTTGCCATTTTCATAGCCTTTGACTTTAATTTTTCATCCGTCAAGAAGGATGGACACTCCTTCCTTTGTTCCACTGTCAGTCAGATTACAGACTCGCTCTTTGGCCTGGGGAGTAATCAGAGGGCCAAGATCAGCTCCAGGCTGGTCCCCTGCATTGACTCTCAGATTCTTGGCTCACTCCACTAGTTCTGGAAGCCACTTCTTGGCTTCTCCAACCAAGATCGCTGTTGAAAGAGCCATGCAGCACTGACCAGCAGCCCCAAATGCTGCTCCAACCAGCTGGTTCAGGGTATTTTCCTTGTTGGCATCTGGCATGACCACTCCATGGTTCTTGGCTCCCATATTGGCTTGAACTCTCTTGCCATGTCTCGACCCTCTCTCGAAGATGTACTCTCCTGCCTGGCTGGATCCCACAAAGCTGATTGCTTTGATGTATGGATGATCACAAATAAAATTCACGGTATCATGCTGTCCCTGGATGACATTCAGAGTTCCATCAGGGGCACCAGAGTCCTGGAGCAATTTAGCAAGAAGCATAGTTGCTCTGGGAACTCGCTCTGATGGTTTCATTAGAAAGGTATTTCCACATACCATAGCCATCAGAAACATCCAAAGAGGAATCATGGCAGGAAAGTTGAGCAGAGCAATGCCGCTGCCACACACCCCCAGGGGCAGACGATACGAGAAAAGGTCCATGTCTTTGGTGATGGATGGCATGGTCTCTCCCAGCAACAGGGACGTCACACTACAGGCATGCTCAGCCACCTGAAGGCCTCGAAACACATCTCCTTCAGCATCAGTTAGGGTCTTCCCTTGTTCCAACGTGATTAACTTGGTGATTTCTTTCAAGTTTTCTTTAATGAGCTGCTGATAGCAGAGCAGGACCTGCTGACGCCTTAATACGGAGTGTCTGCCCATGCTGGAAAAGCACGTTTACAAGAAGCAACGGCTGCGTCCATTTCAGCCTTGGTGGCCTGAGGAACCCGACTGATGACCTCATTGGTAGCTGGGTTATGGATGTCAATCCATTTGTCACTTTTGGAGTCCACAAGTTTCCCATCGATGAAGAGTTTCACAGTTGACACTGAAGAAGAGGAGAAGGAAGAGGATGGATACCAGGTGGACTGAACCTTGGAAAAAACCTGCAGGATCCGGGCCCGCACTGCTGCCGCCGCCACCACAGCAGCCATGGCTCCTCACCGTTACTCCGCCACCTCTGCACTCGGTGGTGTCCTGATTAGAAGTTTAATCCAGAGAGTAAAGATTGTTACCCTCGAGTACTGCATTAAAAACAAGTCTATGTCAGACCAAAGTATAGGGAGGATGAGAAGGACGATTTAGTAAATGTAACTGAAGCAACTAGAACAGAAATAAGGAGAACGTTGGCACAACGTGATGAATGTAATCGACGTCACTGATAATTATGCCTAGAAACTGTGAAATAGGAGTGGGTTTTGCTGTATCTTCAACCACAACAAAGAGAAAATTATGAAAAGAAATATGCCTTTGAATTTTTATACCACATCCTTATCTTACCCTAAAAGAATCATGTTACCGTATATACTCATGTGTAAGCCAAGTTTTTCAGCACATTTTTAATGCCATTTTTGTGGTAAAATTAGGTGTCTCAGCTGATACTTGGGTCAGCTTATACTCGAGTATATACGGTAGTTTTTTAAAATGCTGGCCCATAGGGTTTGCAATGCTGTACATCCATACGTACACTCAGACATAGACTGCTACATCTTTCTTCCACATAGCAGCTGGTGGATTGGAACACTGACATTTTGATTGGCAGCTGAGTGATTTAACCACTGCACCCCCAGATCTCCTTTTAGTTACTTCAGTTTCGCAAAGGAAGTTTACTGTTTAGTTGTTAGGTGTTGTCAAATCGATTCCAACTCATATTGCGAATGTATATACGACAGAATGAAACAGCGCCTGGTCCTGCACCGTCTTCACAATCAAGTAGAGACATACAATTGGCCCTCTGATCCAGAAATATAGAAACATAGGGGTTAGAATTTCAACTTCAATGTTAGCACTCCAGAGAGGACCAGTTTGTAGATGTAATTATAATCATACTTGCCTAACCAGAAGACACCCAGAATCAAAGCAACTAGAAAGAGTAGATAGCAGCATTAGGGGGACAGTGGGTTTATGTTAATGAGGGAGGAACAACTCAGAAAATGAGAGCATGAATGGTCGCACAGCTCAAAGAATGTAATTAATGTCACTAAATGATACATGTAGAAGCTGTTTAATTGGTGGGTGTTTTGCTGTGTACATTCTCAACAATGAGGAGAAAGCAATGGGACCAATGGTTCCGAAGGGACTTGTGAGTTGAAGGAGGTGTGGGGGAAGAGAGTGGTGAGCAAGCAAGGCCATAGGAATTAAAATCAACAATGAGTTGGACGTAGAGATTGTGGGGGTGTTGGAGCAACAGCAATCTAGTTGAGAGGAATTACTGAGAGGTGGAAGAAGGGTGAGCGTGATGGTGGGGCAGGAGGAAGGTAAAAGGAAACAGAGGAAAGATCCAGGGAGCAAAGCTATGGATAGAGGTGTAAGCATAGGTGTGTACATATGTAAATACATTAATTCATATAAATAGAGGTACTGACCTATGTGCATATTTTTAAATCATTTCATTGAGGGTGCATACAACTCTTATCACAATCTATACATCCATCCATTGTGTGTCAAGCATATTTGTATGTACACATATTTATAAGACAATATACTGAGGTAGTAGATGGACTTTGGGCCTCTGCTCATGCCCTCCCTCAATGCAAGAACTCTTTGTTCTAATAATCTGGCATTCTGTGATGCTCACCCTCCCAGCACAATCGCTGAAGACAAAATACGTGCATAAGCAAATGTGGTGAAGAAAGCAGATGGTGCCTGGCTATCAAAAGATATATAGTGTCTGGGGTCTTAAAGGCTTGAAGTTAAACAAGAGTCTATCTAGCAGAGAAGCAACAAGCCCATATGAAAGAAGCACACCAGCCTGTGCAATCATTTGGTGTTGACGGGATCAGGTAACAGACATTAGAAGACCCCAAACAAACAAACACCAACCGAAAAAAACCCACCAGATTGTTGAGAATGAAGGAGGGTGGAGCAGAGACTCAAAACCCATCTGTAGACAATGGGGCATGCCCTCACAGAAGGATCACAAGGAACAGATGAGTCAACCAAGGCCCAGAATAGCACTGATGAAACACAATATTCCTCTGGTTCCTTAAGGCTTTTTCACACACACCCCCGCACTGTCATGACTCCAGTCCTACCTTTCACTGCAGGCTCGACTGGAGCATGTGCACAGGTACAGATAAAAGATAAGAGCTCACAGAGCTCACGGCACATAGAATCTAGGAATAGGAATGGGAGTATCAATACCAGAAGGGTAGGGGAAAGGTGAGGAGACGAGGGGAGGAAAAGGGAACAGATCTCAATAAGCAACACATAAATAATTCCCTCCCACCCCTCCACCCCCCGAGGGGGACAAGCAACAGAAACGATGGGAGAAGGGAGACAACAGTCAGTGTAAGATATGAAAATAATAATAATTTATAATTTATCAAGGGGTCATGAGGCACGGGGAGAGGGAAAAAATAAGAGTTGAACTAACAGCTCAATGGAAAGTAAATGTTTGTGCTTTACACAATTGATGCATGTATGGATTGTGATGAGTTGTATGAGCCCCTAATAAAATGATTTAAAAAAAGAAAAGAAATGAAAAAAAAAGTAAATGTTTAAGACATAATGAAGGCAACATATGTACAAACATGCCTGATACAATTGATGTATGAATTGTTATAAGGCTGTAAGAGCCCCTAATAAAGTGATCTTTTAATGAATAAAACAGAGGCGGGGCGGGGAGGGAGGGGGAAAAAGGAAGAACTGATACCAAGGGCTCAAGTACAAAGAAAATGTTTTGAGAATGATGATGGCAACAAGTATACAAATGTGCTTGGCACAATGGATGGATTTATGGATTGTGATAAGAGTTGTACGAGCCCCCAATGAAATAATTTTTAAAAGAAAACAAAGGGAAGAAGCAACACAGATATGAAAAGCTAATCATACTCTAAAGTTCCACATAGGGCAAATTCATAGGTGCTTGAACTCTGCTTGGTCAGTGGTTAAGTGCTCAACTGTTAGCCGAAAGATCAGTGATTTGAACCCACCAATGCTCTCTGCTTCTGTCAAGATTGACAGCCTTGGAGCCCCGTGGGATAGACCTACTCTGTCCCATAGGGTCACTGTGACTCAGAATCTACTGGCAGTGGGTTCTAAGCTACACAGTAGACCCTCAAGGAGTGTTTGTCAACCATCCTTGTTGTTTTTAGGGGCCACAGAGTCTGTTCCCTCGTCATTCTCAAAACATTTGCTCTCCACTTAAGCCCCCGGCATCAGGTCCTCATTTTTCCCCTCCCTCCCCGCTCGCCCCTCCCTCACGAGCCCTTGATAATTTATAAATTATTATTATTTTGTCATATCTTGCCCTGTCCGACGTCTCCCTTCACCCACTTTTCTGCTGTCTGTCCCCCAGGGAGGAGGTCACATATAGTTCCTTGTAATCGGTTCCCTCTTTCCAACCCACTCTCCCTCTACCCTCCCAGTATCACCACTCACACCACTGGTCCTGTGTTTCAGGTTCCTATCTGTACCAGTGTACTTCCTCTAGTCTAGCCAGACTTGCAAGGTAGAATTTGGATCATGATAGCCTTCCTTCTGATTATAAATTTCCAAAGACAGATTTGTTTGTACTTCTGGCAATCTATGGTACTTTGCCAATGCAACAATTCAAATGCATCGATTCTTCTTCCTAGTCTGAGTATGTAACCTGTCCACCATGGGTGTTATGAATATTCAAAGAGGAGAGATGAATAAGAATCAGATCTAGGCCTCAAGTTTAGCATAAATAATATTTGCATATAAATCCATACAACACAGAAAGAAAAGAAAAAAACACCAGGAAACAAAAGTACAGAAGTTCAGGAGTAGAGATTAAACTGGAGAACATGGAGAATGCCCAGAGAAGCAGATTTTGAAGAATGGGAAAGATTTAGAGGTTAGGAAGCAGTGATTTCCAAACAAAAAAGCATCACTGAATAACGTCCTTTGGTGAGGAGGAACTGGGAACTAGAAAGGGCTAGGTTACACACAGTCTATACTCTGAATATGAGTAGTACTAGTTGCCTTCACTTCTTTTTCTGGTATGTACTCTATTAAGTAGTTACATTCCCTTCCTCAGTGTTGAAACCCTGCATTGTGTGATGATTGTTTTACCATCTGTCTCCTATAGGACGGAAATGATTTCAAGGAGCCCTACAAAGAGATGGACTTCTTCATGCCTCAACTACTCATGATCAAACTTGAAGTCCACGACCCCGTTATTGTCTTCAATCCATCTTTTGATGAATGCTGGAATTTAATACGTGACTCTTTCTTGGAAATCATTCATAACTCTGAGAACATCCCCAAGGTATAGTATTCACTTATCCATTCAGTTGTATTTTTGTGCACTTATTAAATTAAATCTATTGGAAGTTGCTATTTTGTACAAGGCAGTTGAATGTGATATTCAGGTAGGAGAAGTTCGTTCTGGGATTCTATATCCTGAATATAACCATAACCCATAGCCTCAGGAAAAGAACCTGGATCATAAAGAAATGTCCAGGCAGCCCAGACTTGTCTTTCTGAAGAGAGCATTAGAGTAATTGGGTGGCACAACCCAAAACTTCAACTATGGAGGAATGGATAAACAATCCCTTGTACATGGGATATGATGCCTTGTACTTATATTATCCCTTGTACATGGGATACGTACATGGGATATTATGCATCAATAAAAAAACAGTGATAGTTCTCTTAAACACTTGAAAGATCTGGGCAAAACTAGGGAACCTTATGCTTAGTGGATTCAGTCAATCTTACAAAGATAAATATTTATTATCACTATTGAAGGAAAACCAAAGAGGAAATGTGGCTTTTACACCAAGAGCTAAGACTCTGATTATATGAGGAGGTCAGGGATAAGGGTGGGATCAGGGAGAGAGGAGAAATGGGGGGCAAAAAATGGAGTGTTAATGGGGTGGGGAGAATAAATAAATTAAGAATTGCTCCATGAAAAATCAAAAACAAAAACCCTCCAGATTTCTTACCCCTCAGATTTAAATATTGGTCTGTGTGGCTAAAAAAGGAGGAAAAGTAAAACTGAAGTGGATTTTGGGGAAAAAAAAAAAAAGAAGTGGATTTTGAGTCTTTAATGATATTCATTTCAAACATAGGGGTGGGGAGTGGGGATAAAATTTAGTAAAACAGAAATGGTTTCCCTGAAATAATCTTTACATTTTAAGCCAAAAATATCTTGTGAAGTATTCTTACAACCAAACAAAAGTTTAGCCTTAAGAACTATTCTAGTCTGAGGAGCCGGCTCCAATCTCAACTATGTGGAGAGCTGCTCCTCCCCGCAGAAAAATTTGCTTCAGAGGACAGCACTGAAGCTGCAGCTCAGGGAGAGGGACGTGTCTGATCAGAGCACATGGAGCAAATGAAGGAGGAAGAGAGAGTGGAGCACATCCTGGCCCACCACGCCTTGAGGATGATATCCCTGCTCAGAGCAGCCAATGCACAGAGGACCATATGGCAAGCCCCACTATGAGACACAGCAGCCCTCACTGACCCATAGCCCTACGGGGGACAACACTGGAGACACAGTATAGGAATTGTGCCTGGTCTGACCCCACCACACCGAGACAGAACACTAAGGATTGCAACAACAGCAAGGGGAGCAGAACAAAGATGTCCCTGGGGAATACCAAAAATAGATTTGGGGCCCAGGGCGTGGCACCCCATCAGACTCTACTGGAAAACACTCCTAAAGGCCAACAAATAGACCTTGAACTATTTACAGGCTTTTCTATTTTGTTGTCATTTTTTTGTTATTTTGTGTTCTTTTGTTGCTTTTGTTTTGCTCTGCCTTGTTTTTTTGCATATTATTATCTCTGCAGGTCTATCTAGATAAGATAGGTGGGATAAACAATCTGGAGGAGAAAACAACAGGACC